ATGTTTGTCATTGGGATTCGAATAACAACCAAATCTGGTATCAAATGGATTGGAACCATTATATTACTCTTAGATGTCTAGCAATAGATTTTAATGTTGTGCTTACCGAGTTGGTTTAAAGTTCAGCTTTTATTTTATACATTGCTTCTCCTGCATACGCCTTAATATATTTGATTGAAACTTTGGTAGCGAAGTTAATTTGTTTATACATGAAATTTTATAATCATAATGGCGTTAAAAAAACTTTATTAATATATTTTTTGCATAAATTAACTTATATCAAAATTTGAGCAAATTATAATTGCCAGAAACGAATTTAAAAGATTCAACTCAGGTAAATGTAGCAAACAAAAAAAGCAGATTCGGGTCAATAATCTTACGAATTAAATGATTCAACTCAGCCAACAAAGCTTAAAAAACAGATTCGAGTCAATATCTTACGAAAAAAGCCATAATCAATTCATCCAAATTTTAGTCAGGCATAATCGAAAATAAATAAGTGTCGCGGCTGATGCTGATGCTGAAATTTAGTCCTCATTTATAGCTGTTTTCAAAAAGGTGTGAACGGTCGCAGACCAGGGAGTTCACAATATTTCCCAGATTTCCGGAGTTTCAAGACCCGAAGTTTAATTTTTACTAATCTAAATTTCCAAATTCTTCGATTTCCCACGCAGGTATATGGAATTCGTTGTTCACACATTTTTGAAAACGGCTGTAAATCTATAATGCCTACCTTTGCTAGGAAAATCACCCTTCGGGATTGGGCTAATTCGAAAAAGTTTAGACCAGAATGTCGGTTCTTATTCATATGTAAAACATCTATTTACTTTACTGATTCGACAGTTTATTCAATGAACTATCAAATAAATCAAGCAAAGGTGATTTATATATGAATAAGAACTGGCATTCTGGTCGGAAAATCCCGAAGGGTGATTTTCCTAACAAAGATCCCAATATACTTTTTTACTAACCCTAAACCCTAAACCCTAACCCAACCCTAAAAAAAACTCCCCTAACAAAAGGCCCCCAAAATTTTTATATTTAGCGATTTATAATTTTGATGGTCTTGCCAAATATGATCAATATATTGTAACAATCATTTGCTATATATGGATTAGATCGTAAAGGCCGTAACGATTTTACCGGATGTGGATTAAATTTTATTGGATCTACAACCGGAACTTCCTTGCAATTCTAAGAAAGGAAATTTTCTATCCGTCATTTTTGTAAATCAAGTTCAATATCAACTTCGATTCAATATCAACTTCAACTTCAATTCAAATATCAACTTCAATTCAATATTTCATATTCAATAATTTTTGACAACACTGACACAATAGTAAACTGTTGTTAAAAAAGTTTAACATGGTTATTTCTTTCATGTTTCGCTTAGAATAATTATCCCAATTCTAAGTTTTACCTAAATTTTTTTTTTTTTCTGTCGGAAAATTCACAGGACAGATAAATTGATCGTCAAAGTTCAAAACGAAAGACCATAACGAAAGAATTTGATGACTTTTTCCAAATGCATAGAATAATGGTGTGACTTAACCTGCTGAAGAATTTATAAACGATCATCTAATTTTTTTATTTATCAAGATTAACAAGATTAAATACGTGTTTGTAGATTTTCCAATTTAACTGGAAAAAAAATAAAGCAGATTATTTATTATTAAAATTAAAATAATAAATAAAAATAAAAAATAAAAAAACAGGTGATAAAAAGCATCTTTAACATGCTCATTATTTATTAAATATTTATTTCGTGATTTTTTTTAATTTAATTTTTTATATATATATACTGTATATATAAAATAAACGTGTTAACAAATTTATCAACAAAAATTTTTTTTATATACTCAATTTTTTTTTTTCCTTAAAGAAAAAAAATGCCTGCCTCTGTCACGGTCTTATGTTATGTTACAAATTATCGTAAATCATTTGCCAATAAAGATCTTACAATCGTTGAAGCTTCGGGTATTGTAAGATCTCGAAGTATGAATTCTCCTCTAAATGTAATTTTGATCAGATTTTATCCTAATAATGTAATTCAGGAATTAAGTTTACCTGAATTCGAAAACGAAGATGTAATACTCGCAACAGGAAATTTTCGTATTATTGAAAACGTAGATAAAGACAACAAAAAATATCCAATCTTAAAAGTAGTAAATTATAAAAAATATTTTTTCTTTTTTCTCAACCATGATAATTACAATAATTATATATATACTTAACATTTTTTATATTAGATTGTTCTAAACGATATCATTCGTTTCAATGATATTGATCCTAACAATATACCTGCGTTTCCAATATTGCTAAATATGACAGCAGTAGCTCAAGAAGAACCAGTAATTGATGAAGAAGATGTAACTATAAAGGTTTCATCAAGAAATTTCATTGACCAAGACTATGCTAATATTGAAATGATGTGTTATTATTCTGTATATGCTCGACATTTAATGAACATAATTACCACTGTAAAAAAACATTCGGTAATTTATATAAATGGAGAGCTAATAATAACCGATGATTCTAACTTAGTTCATATTCGAAGCATTTCTTTCCCTGAATATCAAAATTCAATTTTAGCTACAAGAGATACGATTCAACTATCGTGGGAAACTAAGAATAATGACGAGGAAAACAAATTAAATACTGTAGCTCAAACAATCGCCACTAAAGTTAAAGGAAATAGTCGTCGTAAAAAAATTACACCTACTACAACACCATATTTCAAGACTAAACCTCGTTTTATTCGTCCTAAAGTTACAGATCTAGCGAATAATTTTTTAAATCAAAAATCTAATACACCTGAACAAACAACTTCCTCAGCTACCAATGCGAAATAGATAAGTATAAATTTTAAAGTTTACGATCTTTTTTATTTTTAATAAAAAAAAATTAATTCGTCTAATTATTTATCGTTATTCTTCTTTTTTTTTATTATTATTATTTAATTAATTAAATTAAAAAATAGGATCTCAAATATCTATATTTTATTTATTTATATATTCAATTTACTGTAAATACATATGTATATGTTAGAGTGTCCAGATTTATGCGATTTTATTGTTTAAACAATAAATATCTCTGAAATCGCATAAGTCTCGACACTCTAACTCTAGCAATCATCCGATAATCACAATAATTAAACAATAATGTAATAATTACATATTTATTAAAATTAATTTATTATGTATTATTTATTTATCGTTATTTATTTTATTAAAAAATTAATCATCTGATGATCACGACAATGTAATAATTACGATACTTTGATATATTTTATCAAAATTTAATTTATTAAAAAATTTTTTAATAAAAAATAAATCATACCACTGTATTTTACAACATTTTCAAACATAATATTCAATACATACGAGATAATCGACTAAAATTTGACATAACATGTTAAATGTTAGTCGATTATCTTAATCACAGTAATTGAACGATAACAACATATGATACTTTAATATATTTATTAAAATTAATCTATTAATAGTTAAATAGTGCTATTTTACTATCATTCAAACATAATATTCAATACGAAATAATCAGTAAGTATTTAACACATTAATCAAATAACACGGTAATGAATAATATTAGTTGATTAATAGTCTTACTTAATATTAATACGTATATAAAATAAAATTTATTTTAAATGGTAATTTCAATATCGATCTTATAAATAAACTATAAAATAGCTTGAAAGTCCCAACATCGATTATCAACAATTTATTATAATTATTTACAACGATTACAATGATTAATAATAAAAAATATAACTATTAATAAATTACTTATCTCTATCTCAACAGCAATAAAACATGTCATTTAACATATATGAAATTCTTGAAATTGAAGATCTTAAATACAATGAACAAGTGATTGATCTATCATCTTCTAACAATGATACTCCGCAATCCATTGATCAAACCAACTTAACTAACAACCTACCTCAAACAGAGATATTACCATGGATCGAATCTATAAAAATGAAAGAAATAATAAATGAATTCGAAAATACTATTTTATCTCAATTCCCATGTGTTCCCTGCTCTATTTGCTCAAAACTCATGTATCCAGAAAAATCTATGTGGATTCAACGAGTCCCTAATACTTTATACCCTCTTGAAAACTATGCGCCATTAGTTACAAGTCCCATCCCACCTACAAATCGTATTGCAATTTGCATGCTATGTAAATCAAATCCAAATCGCAATTACCCACCATATCTTGTACCAACACCAATAGAAATTGAATCAGTACCATTAGAAAAACGGAAATATCTATCACTTATTTTCTTACAATGTTCTCTTGGCAGAACACCCGGTGCAAATCCTTTTACAGAATATAGAACATTAGTAGACACTATGAACTATTCTTAAAATTTTCATTCATTAAGTATGTATTCTGGTTTATTAGGTGCATACCTGGAATCTTCTTCTTCATCTGAAATTTCATCCTGGTTCGACAATTCATTGACTAATGCTATTAACTGGCTTAAAGAACACAATCCAAACGGGTTAGGGTCCCATAACCTAGTAGTCTAGGCGCCTAATCCTTTACAGACAAGGTCAACGGTTCGATTATAGCTGGTAGTAATTAATTTAATTAATTATCTCTGTAACCTACAGGAGCTTT